CTTGCGTACTTGGGGCTGTTTGGCGAAAGTCAATGTGCCGATCCCCAAAAAGCATAAGCTTGGACCCAAGACTGTGGACTGCGTTAATTTGGGCTACGCTAAGAACAGTGTTGGCTATAGATTTCTAGTAGTGAAATCTGAGTTACCTGACCAGAAGGTCGGTACAATCATAGAGTCTAAGGATGCTACATTCTTTGAGGATATTTTTCCTATGAGAGATATGCAAAGCACTACTAGACAGGAATCCGAGGAGACTCCTGAGCCTGCCATTCCTATGGAATATTATGAACGAACACATGATGAAAATCCTGAGGAGGATGACGAGGAAACCCTTGGTAGGGGCAAGAGACAAAGGACTGCAAAGACCTTTGGTGATGATTTCTTCGTGTACCTCGTGGATGATACTCCCACTTCTATCTCAGAAGCGTATGCCTCTCCAGAAGCTGACTACTGGAAGGATGCGGTTCGTAGCGAGATGGATTCCATCATGGCTAACGGGACATGGGAGATCATTGAGCGTCCCTATGGTTGCAAACCATTGGGATGTAAGTGGGTGTTCAAGAAAAAGCTTAGGCCCGATGGTACGATTGAAAAGTACAAGGCCAGGCTTGTGGCCAAGGGCTATGACTAGAAAGAAGAGGAAGATTTCTTTGATACTTATTCACCTGTGGCTAGACTGACCACCATTCGAGTATTACTCTCGTTGGCGGCCTCACATGGTCTTCTCGTCCATCAAATGGATGTTAAGACGGCTTTTCTGAATGGAGAGCTAAATGAGGAAATCTACATGCAACAGCCAGATGGCTTTGTGATAGATGGTCAGGAAAGGAAGGTGTGTAAGTTGTTGAAATCTTTATATGGCCTAAAGCAAGCACCTAAGCAATGGCATGATAAGTTCAATACAACTCTGACATCTGTTGGTTTCGTTGTTAATGAGGCTGACAAATGTGTATACTATCGCCATGGTGGGGGCGAAGGAGTTATACTGTATTTGTATGTTGATGACATACTGATATTCGGAACAAACCTCAAAGTCATTGAGGAGGTCAAATCGTTTCTGTCTCAGAACTTTGAGATGAAGGACCTTGATGTGGCTGATGTTATCTTGAACATCAAGCTACTGAGAGATAATGAGGGTGGGATCACACTTCTGCAATCCCATTATGTTGAGAAGGTGTTGAGTCGTTTTGGATATTCGAACTACACACCATCTCAAACACCATATGATCCTAGCGTGTTGATTCGAAAGTCCAAAGGCATGGCTAAAGATCAATTGAGATACTCTCAAATCATTGGTTCACTGATGTACCTAGCGAGCGCAACGAGGCCTGACATCGCGTTTGCTGTGAGCAAACTGAGCCGGTTTGTTTCCAAACCGGGTGATGTACATTGGCATGCTGTTGAAAGAGTTATGCGCTAACTGAAAGGTACTATGAACTATGGACTTCACTATACCGGAGACCCGTCGGTACTTGAAGGGTATAGTGATGCGAATTGGATCTCTGATGCTGATGAGATGAAGGCCACAACTGGGTATATGTTTACTCTTGGAGGTGGCGCTGTTTCCTGGAAGTCTTGCAAGCAAACGATCTTAACGAGATCGACAATGGAAGCAAAATTAACAGCATTAGACACTTCTGGTGTTGAAGCAGGATGGCTTCGAGATCTTTTGATGGACTTGCCACTGGTTGATAAACTGGTTCCGGCTATCCTTATGAACTGTGACAATCAGACTGTCATCACCAAGGTGAAGAGTTCAAAGGACAACATGAAGTCCAACAAACACATAAGAATGAGATTAAAAGTTGTCAGAAAATTAAGAAACTCCGGAGTGATAGCGCTGGACTATGTCCATACGGCTAAGAATCTGGCAGATCCCTTTACGAAAGGGCTATCACGTGTCGTGATAGATAGTGCATCGAGGGAGATGGGTATGAGACCCACATGAGTTGCCATGGTGGTAACCCAACCTATGTGATCGGAGATCCCGTGAAGTAGGACCTGGGAAACAAGCCAGTGGTGAACTGAGGAGAGTAACTTTACTAACCCACTCCGTTGGAGATGCAATACCCTCGAAAACTATATGGAAGGATGACTACTGTCTTAATGTGTTCCAAGGCTTATATGTATAAGAAAGATGCTATCCTACAGAGCGATCTTTGGAGGAACACACCTATGTGAGCCCGACTGCTAGTCACAGTCTATGAGATTGGGGTGATCTCTAGTAAGCTCATGAATAGGCCAGGAGTGTGACTTATATGCTCCACCCGAGGGGTCAGCCTTCGGCAGCCCAGTACTAGTAAGACATGTGGTGAAACTTCTTTACGCCAAACTGACAATTCAAGGCATAGTTCATTGTTCAGTTGTGAAGGAGTGTAGCTACTTGCTCTAGGTGAAGCTCAATCTTAACAGGTCTTCACTGAAACACTAGTATATCAAAACAGCATTTGGAACAAAGGACAAAGTGGGCTCCTGAGATCTGGTGGGGGATTGTTGAAATTTGAGATGGGCCTAGAGCCCATATGACAATTTCAGATTTGATCTCTAAGGGCCCATGTAGGTGACATGACAAGGTGGTGGGAAGTTTAGTCCCACCATGCTAGTGGAAGGAAAGTTGGAGTGGTTTATAAGGGTGGCTCTTCTACATGCTATTGGAGCTTGAGAAGAGAAGAGGCCCTCGCGCGCTCCTCCTCCGCCGCCCGCCTCGCCACGCCTCGCCTCGCCTCGCCTCGCCTCGCCTCGTCGCGCCGCGGGTTGCGGGAATGAGCCGAGCTCACATCTATGCGCTTATTTTTGCCAGTCACTAACGGAGAGGTTCTGACAGCAGGGCCACGATCCGAGACGTCGGATCATGGGCTGACACGGACTCGGACGTGGGTCAAGCCCACGTCTCTCCACGCGGCTACGTCTATATAAGTGTGCGGTGTCCCCTACATCTGCTCACGCGCACGCCCACCGTCGTTCCTTTGCTGCTGCTGCCGCCGGTGACTCCATCCCGTCCGCCGCGTACACGATCGACGGGAGAGCAGGTCTCCAAAACCACGCCCTTCTGGTTCCTATACGGGGTGAGGGGAGAATAGGTTTTTGGGCAGCGATTACGCGACTGCTCACTTCCGATCGTCTACTTCCTCTACGTCCGCGTCGCCTTCATCATCACCATGTCCACCGACCCCGACCGTGCCGCCGCCGAGAAAGCTGAAGCCGACAAGAAGGCCGCCGAGGACGCCGCTGCTGCCACCAAAGCCGCGGCCTCTGCATGGCCTACTGGAGGGTATAACTCGTTTATCCCGCTCCTGATTATTTTCATATTAGCAGTACTAGCAGTATGTGTAGATTTGTCTACTGTTTGCTTAGTACGTGCATGTTTAGATCAAAGTCAGTACGTCATCAACTTCGTCAATGCCATGCTAGTGATTTACTCGTGGATTAATTTAATCGAGAAATTGCCTATTTACTCAACAGATATGCTGTAGTACGATGTAGGCAGCAGTAACCATGTTTTAAGGAATGCGCATTTAGAAGAAGCAGAGACCTCGCTTGAAGAGGCGCCGTCTGTTGTAGACAGTGGGAATATTGTCGTTGCCAATGTTTTGCATCTACCGAGCGCATTCAAACAATTCTTTCCGTGACTTTGGTGATAGATCCGGGTGTGCAATGCGCATATTGGTGCGGAGCTCCAAAACTTTGACATGCTACCACAGAGGAAACATAACCAAACAATCCCCAACAATCTCATTCTTGGCTCCTCCTTCCACGACATGAAGCACTTACCCTAAATCAACACCCAAGCAATAACCTACCTTTCTCCTGAGTGATACTGGTACACACCATGAATCAGACCCACCTAAGTGTTTAAAGATCCAGAGATGAAATCAAACCCATATCAAAATATCATGTAAAAAGAGGGGACACCTATAGGGTAATGCAGAGAAAAGAAAAAAACGTCCATACTAAGTACATGCCCAAGACCACTATGAAGATGCATACAAGGTTTGATCTGATCATTGGATGGTCTCAGGCCAGGCAAACCAGGTCCAAGCGACTAGGCGAGTATCAGGTTTGTTGTGTCCGGCCAGGCCAAGCAAACATCGCTCAGTCTCAGGGCTTCACCTTCGATACGAACCAACCAGAACCAGGTCATCTTCCATAGGGTGCAAAGGCTGTGGTTGCAATCACCCTATTATCCTGTATTCAGCCTCAACCAGATCATATAACTCTAATACTAGTAGTAGAGAAAAAAAATGTCTACTGATTGAAACTGTTAATTCCATTGTCACATTCTTAGTCACGGAGCAGCACATTCCATGTTACAACATGTTAACTGAATCTGGGTTGAGCATGGAAAGGTGAACACATCTGCGACACCTCCACGTTATTGAAACCACGGTCGCTTCGAACTTCGAAAGCTGATCTGATAACGACTCCACTGAATCTGGACAAACGAGACATCACACAAGATTTACCGCCCTATTTCAAGAGTTTTACAAGCTTAAAGGAACAAAATTTAGGTACGTATTGGGTAGATAGTACCACGTGAAGGGGCAGAATGGCGTAATACTAGCCTCAACAGAATTTGAAACATTTGACTGCAAACACTCACTTCAGTGTGCTTAGCATCATTACAAGTTGGGATACACGGCCGGACAGCGGCACATGAACATAATGGAATTCAGTCCTGTAAAATCTCATACAGAATTGGTTTTACAGGGGTTCCATCAATCAAGTGCTAGTGCAGGACAATCTGCTTCTAAGCAAATTCCTGCTGCATCTGTCCGTCCTCTGTTCACAGGTTCAATCAGTTTCATCTCAAAGCCAAAAAGAAAACGCAGCCAGCACACTTGAATTCAGCAACTTCAGATGAACTACTCATAAAGTCATAAGCATCAGCAGCACGTAGTACCAACTCGGTCGAAACATCTACTACGGTGAAACAACCAAAATAAAGAAGACCACTACACCACATGCAGACCATACATGAAGATACATGTACAGAGCTAGAGCTACAGCTCTGTTTCCCACTTGCGGATCAAATAGACCGTCATGGTATGGCTCCGGGTGATGCCCTTTTGCATTTGGAAGAGGCAGACATCCCCCACCTCCAGGTTGTTGTCTGTGGCGAATTCCTTCCACCCGCTCGTAAGCGACTTCCCCCCGACACTCAAATTGGTACGCCACTTCCTCTCCCTGCCCTCTAGCTGAAGAAAGAGGGTTCCTTTTCTGCCCCGGAGGGATGCACAAATGTACTCCTGGCAGAAGCTCTACTCATAGCATAGCAAGACAAGTTCACAAACTCAGATCAATGGCTGATTCAGAGGAAAATAACCTTTATGCAGTGTAATGCAGGAGGCGGCCGAGAATGCTGCCATGGATAAATAAGTACGTAACTCACCAGAGCACATCCATAGCTGCCAACGCCATCAATACAACTTATGGTCATCACTTTCACAAAGATAGGAAGCTCAGACAGAATAGATTGCACTTTCTCCTCGACTTTCTTCTCCACTTGCTTAGGAAGAGTCACCCCCAGGGAGAGAATATAGGGACGCTGCGAAGGTCCAACGCCGACTTCAAGGTTCCCAGATGCTCGGTCATGCGTCTTGTGAGCTGCATATCCTCAAAAGCATATCGTACTCTCTTATGGTGAGCACAGAAATGGAATATAGTAGAAAAAAAATGCAAAGGCAATATTATTTATGAGTTTTGCAGTTTGCACATCGACCTGGTACCGCCTTCTGGCTCCTGCATGATTTTCTCATGTCTTCTCCCATGACTTCATCATCATCGGAACTCAGGTCAATAACTGTAGGTGGTGGTTGTTCTTTATCAACAATCTCAACCGAATCTTCACGCACTTCTCGGAGATTGGAAGAGTCTCCCATGGCAAAACATGAAGCTTTCTCACAACCGCTTGGGTCAAGGACAAGAATGTCAAGACGGTCTTTCCCCTTGCTTCTGAAGATGATGAGATCATTCTCCTGTATGTGGTGAGAAGCTACAAAAATATTCAACCCAGATTGGAGGATTATTTGATCATCACTGTGCTTGCTTGCGCCAACACTGTATAGTGTGTTGTTCCCATGGGTTTCGAGCTGAATGGTTATCTCCTCTGTGAAATTATCCAAAAGCCTCAACGGTATGTACTGCAGTAACAGTGAAAAAACAGCAAGCAGGAATAATTAATAGCCTATGGATCGGAGTGGCAAATACAACTAGGAAATTATCTGGGAAAGGATGTAACTTACAACATAGCAGTCCTCGTTGGTATTTCTTTTGTTCACAGCTGCCACATGCAGAGGAAATTCAGACCGCATGCTGTTCTCAGCTAGTTCTAACACTTTCTTCTCTTGTGCTTGGGTTACACAGGTCCCGGGGAATGTGGTATAGCCAAACTCGGTTGACCTCTGAAAATTTACAGGATGATGCCCCACTTGTTCTACGCAACAAGAAAGAACACGGTTATAATGATCACAAAATGCATTACCAGTAGCGCACGACTTGAAGGTCCAAATTAACTTTACCATTAAGCACACAATCAAGAGGACTGCTGGGAGGAACGGCTGTAAAGATGTCGGGAGGCTGTTGAGAGCTCTCATGACCGGCCGATGAAGTGAATATATGGACCTTGAAGCTGGAGCCCCCACAGTAGTCGAACAGGATGGAGTCACCTTCTTGTATGTGATTTGCATCCACAAACTTCAGCCAACCGGTGGCAAGACATATCCCGCCGAACTTCCTAAATTCAACATCATACATGTGGCCATCCGGAGCTTCAAGTTTGATAGGCTCGGATTCAGGAAGCATATTTCTCAGCTGTCTTGCAGCCTCCTGCGGTATGCACTGTCGAAAGATTCACTTTGGTTGGTTAGAGTCACCACGTATAGGCTTCGCCCCTGGTGGGCATTTAGTTGCCTGCCATTTTGTGAGATTGCTTGGGTACATAACACACAATAACCATAAGAGAAAGATTCGGTTGCAGGAATATGCAATCAGCACAGTTTCGTGTAACAGCAGTAGCAGAGTATCCCTAACTAAGAAGCCACAGAAACCTGCAATCCACCATTGCAAGGGAAAGATGCCTGAACTGAACTGAATCTGAAAAAGTGAGTGAGCATTTGTCGACAGCATACAACAAAAAGCAGAGCAGGAATTTCCACATCGGGAGATAAGTACCTCACAAGCCACAAGAATCACATCACATAGAATTACGAGCAGCATCGGGGGGATTGAATAATGGTCTAACCACGCCGTCCCTGAAGCCGTCGGAGGCCCGGACGATGAACTGCCTCCTGCCGCCGGTCGCGTGGTTCCAGTAGCAGTGCTGCATCCACCACGCCACGCACTCCTCGCACCCGTCCATCTCGCAGCCCCAGCCGCCAGCGCCGGCGCCGCCGCCGCAGTCGCAGCCTGAAAGGGAATCGAGTCAAATGGCGGTGAGGAATTCCAGAAAAAAGGAGGCATTTTTTCTCCCCGTGTACACTACACTCGGCACCAAATCTGGAAGGGGATCAATCAGCAGCAGGCGGGCCGGGAGGTTACCTGCTGGTTCCATCGCTCGCCGCCGTGCCGGTGCCCCGTCCGCCGCCGCCGCCGCCTGCTTGGAGAGTACTACTATAGTAGCGAGACGGAGACCGTGCTAAACCAACGTGGCCTTAATCGTTTTGGTTGAAGTCTCACAGTCCACAGCGCGCAGGACGGAAAGGGGAAAGAGCAGTGAAGGCCGGGCACGTGACCCCCTCCCTTCCCCTCTCTCATCAATTATTTACCCACCCTTTACTATTGCCTCGGCATGTGTTTGAAAAATGACAGTCAAATTTTGCTCAACATAACAATGTTTAAATTCACAGTTTTTGAATTTTCACTTTCAAACTAAAAAACACGAATAGCTAGGGAATCCAAAGTCGAACCCAACATATATGGATGCGAAGTGCTATCCGTGCAAATTACAACAGTACTTCGATAATTCCAGGAATAGGAGAAGACCCTAAAATCTCTAGAAAACCCCTGAAAAGGAAGAGAGAGAAGTATGTCTTCCTTCTCACCGAAGAACCCCGATCCTAAACTGACTCCCATGTCACTTGGGAGAGGCGACCAGAAAGATCTAATCGCCGCCGTCAGGTCTTCCTTGTTACTGGACTGTTGCGACGCCCGCGTCTGACCACCCTATCCCATCTGAAACACCTATCCACGCTCACGCGCGTTCCCGCCCAGCGCCAGCTGCCTACATTCATGACGCTGGAGAGCGGCTACTCCGATTGACGTCGACGTAGGACGAACGTGACCCCTCACTGTCAGCATTGAAGCAACACAACAACCGAGAGAGCGTCGCCCGCTGCACGCCCGGTTGAACACGCCTCCTCGCCGCATTCAAACGGCCACAGACTGTCTGCCTTCCTCCATTAAACCATGCGTGTGCTGAGCAACCTACTCCGACCACAAGTTCGTTCGCGAGCCGCCCGTCATTAAACACAACGCTGGCTGGATCCGGCCGTCCGCCCACTATTTAAAGGGCGCCAGACGCTGGGCAAAATTCGCACCACACCACACTTCGCTCTCATCTTCTCCTTGCACAATTTTCTCTATAATCTCTATGACATCGGGCGACGGGAAGAGGAGTTCCCCAACATAAAAGCCGATTGGATGGCCCATCGAGCCCGCCGAATACGAGCCATGCAACTCTCTACTCCACTACTTTCGACGCTCCAGGGTGCTGCAGGCCAGCTCGGGGAGGCATAAGCTCCAAGCCGACGCGTTGTTCAGCAACTCTTGATCCACGACAGCTCGTCGAGGAGCAGTGAGTTGCTTCAGTCCGGCATGCGGGGGAGCATGGTGGCACGGGCATTGTGGCTATCGTGGACGACGTCATATCATACTGCTCCTACCGTGCCCGCGACCATGCCATCCATCGTCAACGAATATGTAACCGCGCCCTGCCGGTGCAGAAAGAAGTTGGCTTCATGGAGATCGATGAAACAGTGGCCACCACGTCCACGCCAGCTGCATGCCATCATCAAGGAGAAGTAGAACATGGGAGCACGCCGCCGCTCGGGTCCCATGAAGGTCACTGCCGAGGCGACGTTGGTGTACACTGTTGTCTTGCCCGGTCATAGGCCACCTATAGGGGAACGTGGTAATTTCAAGAAAATTCCTACGATCACACAAGATCTATCTAGGAGATGCATAGCAACGAGAGGGGAGAGTGTGTCCACGTACACTCGTAGACCGAAAGCGAAAGCGTTTCAGTAACGCGGTTGATGTAGTCGAACTTCTTCGCGATCCAACCAATCAAGTACCGAACGCACGACACCTCCGCGTTCAACACACGTTCAGCTCGATGACGTCCCTCGTGCTCTTGATCCAGTAGAGGACGAGGGTGAGTTCCATCAGCACGACAGTGTGGCGACGGTGATGATGATGCTACCAGCGCAGGGCTTCGCCTAAGCTCTACGATGGTATGATCGAGGTGTGTAACTGTGGAGGGGGGCACCGCACACGGTTGGGAGAGAAACTTGTGTCTCCTAGGGTGCCCCCTACCCCCGTATATAAAGGAGAAAGGGGGAGGCCGGCCGGTCCTCCTACGGCGTGCCCCACAAGGGGAGTCCTACTAGGACTACTAGTCCTAGTAGGATTCCACCAAGAGGGAAAGAGGGGGAAGGAATGAGAAGGTGAGGAAGAAGGAAAGGGGGGTGTCGCCCCCCTTCCCTAGTCCAATTCGGACCCAAGGGGGAGGGGGCGCGCGGCCTGCCCTGGCCGCCCCCCTCTCTCTCTCTCCACCAAGGCCCATGTGGCCCATTAGTTCCCCCGGGGGGTTTCGGTAACCCTCTGGCACTCCGGAATTATCCAAAACTTCTCCGGAACACTTCCGGTGTCCGAATATAGCCGTCCAATATATCAATCTTTATGTCTCGACCATTCGAGACTCCTCGTCACGTCTGTGATCTCATCCGGTCAAGGAAATATGCCCTAGAGGCAATAATAAAGTTGTTATTTATATTTCCTTATATCATGATAAAATGTTTATTATTCATGGTAGAATTGTATTAACCGAAAACTTAGTACATGTGTGAATATATAGACAAACTAAGTGTCACTAGTATGCCTCTACTTGACTAGCTCGTTGAATCAAAGATGGTTAAGTTTCCTAGCCATAGACATGAGTTGTCATTTGATTAACGGGATCACATCATTAGATAATGATGTGATTGACTTGACCCGTTCCGTTATCTTAGCATTTGATCGTTTAGTATATTGCTATTGCTTTCTTCATGACTTATACATGTTCCTATGACTATGAGATTATGCAACTCCCGAATACCAGAGGAACACTTTGTGTGCTACCAAACGTCACAACGTAACCGGGTGATTATAAAGGTGCTCTACAGGTGTCTCCGAAGGTACTTGTTGGGTTGGCATAGATCAAGATTTGGATTTGTCACTCCGATTGTCGAAGAGGTATCTCTGGGCCCTCTCGATAATGCACATCACTATAAGCCTTGCAAGTAATGTGACTAATGAGTTAGTTGCAGGATGATGCATTACGGAACGAGTAAAGAGACTCCCCGGTAACAAGATTGAACTAGGTATTGAGATACCGACGACCGAATCTGGGGCAACATACCGATGACAAAGGGAACAACTTACGTTGTTATGCGGTTTGACCGATAAAGATCTTCGTAGAGTATGTAGGAGCCAATATGAGCATCCAGGTTCCGCTATTGGTTATTGACCGGAGACGTGTCTCGGTCATGTCTGCATAGTTCTTGAACCCGTAGGGTCCGCACGCTTAACATTCGGTGACGATCGGTATTATGAGTTTATGTGTTTTGATGTACCGAAGGTATTTCGGAGTCCCGAATATGATCACGGACATGATGAGGAGTCCCGAATATTCATTTAAAGTCAGAGAATAATTGTTGTTCTATTTACATGAATAAAACCTTCAATGGTCTTACACCCAAGGTGAATGGTTTATTGAATCTCGATAGTAGTGATACACATATTCATAATATTGAAGCCAAAAGATACAAAGTTGATAATAATAGTGCAACTTATTTGTGGCACGGCCGTTTAGGTCATATTGGTGTAAAGCGCATAAAGAAACTCCATTATGATGGACTTTTGGAATCACTTGATTATGAATCACTTGGTACTTGTGAACCATGCCTCATGGGCAAGATGACTAAAACGCCGTTCTCCAGAATAATGGAGCGAGCAACAGATTTGTTGGAAATCATACATACAGATGCATGTGGTCCGATGAATGTTGAGGCTCGCGGCGGGTATCTTTTTTTTCTCACCTTCACAGATGATTTGAGCAGATATGGGTATATCTACTTGATGAAACATAAGTCTGAAACATTTAAAAAGTTCAAAGAATTTCAGAGTGAAGTGGAAAATCATCGTAACAAGAAAATAAAGTTTCTACAATCTTATCGTGGAGGAGAATATTTGAGTTACGAGTTTGGTCTTCATTTGAAACAATGCTGAATAGTTTCGCAACTCAGGCCACCCGGAACACCACAACGTAATGGTGTGTCCGAACGTCATAATCATACTTTACTAGATATGGTGTGATCTTTGATGTCTCTTACTGATTTACTGCTATCATTTTGGGGTTATGCTTTAGAGACGGCTGCATTCACGTTAAATGGGGCACTATCTAAATCCGTTGAGACGACGCCTTATGAACTGTGGTTTGGTAAGAAACCAAAGTTGTCGTTTCTTAAATTTTGGGGCTGCGATGCTTATGTGAAAAAGCTTCAACCTGATAAGTTCAAACCCAAATCGGAGAAATGTGTCTTCATAGGATACCCAAAGGAGACTATTGGGTACACCTTCTATCACAGATCCGAAGGCAAGATCTTTGTTACTAAGAATGGATCCTTTCTGGAGAAGGAGTTTCTCTCGAAAGAAGTGAGTGGGAGGAAAGTAGAACTTGATGAGGTAACTGTACCTGCTCCCTTATTGGAAAGTAGTTCATCATAGAAATCTGTTCCTGTGACTCCTACACCAATTAGTGAGGAAGCTAATGATGATGATCATGTAACTTCAGATCAAGTTACTACCAAACCCCGTAGGTCAACCAGAGTAAGATCCGCACCAGAGTGGTACAGTAATCCTGTTCTAGAGGTCATGTTACTTGACCATGACGAACCTACGAACTATGAGGAAGCAATGATGAGCTCAGATTCCGCGAAATGGCTTGAGGCCAAGAAATCTGAGATGGGATCCATGTATGAGAACAAAGTGTGGACTTTGGTTGACTTGCCCGATGATCGGCAAGCCATGGAAAATAAATGGATTTTCAAGAGGAAGACGGATGCTGATAGTAGTGTTACTATCTACAAAGCTAGACTTGTCGAAAAAGGTTTTTGACAAAGTTCAAGGTGTTGACTACGACGAGATTTTCTCACTCGTAGCGATGCTTAAGTCTGCCTGAATCATGTTAGCAGTTGCCACATTTTATGAAATCTGGCAAATGGATGTCAAAACTACATTCCTTAAGGGTTTTCTTAAAAAAGAGTTGTATATGATACAACTAGAAGGTTTTGT